AATTTCAGTCAATAGGTTTATTTTTTTTGTTCAGTGTTTCACAATCAGAGAAGCATGACTTATCTCCCAAAGTCGTCTTTGGGAGAACAATTAAGTTATTTAAGATGAGCAAGGCAAGCTGCTGACACATTTCAGTTTTGAAGGCACTGCTCTTCAGTTTATCCAGACAAAGCCTGAAACGTGAAAGCTGGCCTCCTGCCTTTGTTTTCTTGTAACCGACTGCCGAAGAAGCAGATTTCCCTGCTCCATGGCTAACTAGATCTGCCTGGTTTGCTTAACCAGCGAGCACATTCCTGCACTTCAGGAAGAACACTCCGGACTCATTACGAGCTACTGGGCTACAGCACGACATTGAGAAAACAGATTTGTTTTGGACAAGCTGCTCTGATGTGGAGGTGCCAGGGTGAATAACCTTTGGAAAAAAAAAAAAAAGAAAAACAACAAAAAAACCAAAAACCTGCCTCCAGGAACAAGATGAATAATCTGACAAATGAATAGCTCTGTATTTTATATCAAAGCACAAAATGACTAGAAGTTGTGGAGATCTGACTCATGAGCAGAAATAGAGTGCTGGGGACGGCTTGAGCCGTTGCTACCACCAGCTGCCTGCCCCCACCGCTGGAGAATGGGTGGCTCAGATGCTGCTTCTTAAGCAATTCAGCCACAAAAGGCTACAGTTCAGCATTTTCAAGGAAACGTGTCAGCGCTAGTTTGTAGCAGCACTTGTTAAGATAAACCTTGAAACGGTCCCGAGTTGCCACAAAGCCTTTCAGCTTTTGAGGCAGGAGGAACTGGACAGACACTTTGCCAGGCATCCCGGTGGAAGTCGCACCAGGCATAAATCAGTACTCAGCAAAGCAGCTTGTCCCAGCTAAGTGGCACTCCGCTGCCACGGCAAGGTGTTGATAGAAGCCTCCTCCCTGCCCCCTTTCCCAACCCTCTTATCAGTAAAGCAGCCTTTTTGAGATGGGCAAATTTTAAGCCCGTGACCTATTTAAACGTCCGGTCCCATCACCGGCCAGCAGCGCAATTCTGCAACAACTCCCGTAGCACTTCGCTACTGCATTTCCCCAGCTGCTCTCTGTGACAAGTTCCCCGACTCAAATAGAAGCCCTAATCCTAGTGTAAAGCTCCAGCCTTGCACCTTCAGATAAACATACATTGTTTCACCTGGTCTTCTGCGAAAATGAGACTGTGATGAGGGCCTTATCAGTGCTGCTTTCTCTACCTCTTCTCAGCTCCTCCTCCCACCCATAACTTTCTAACGTGTTTATCATGCAGAAAGAGAAAGACAGCTCAGAAAATCAAACTCCTACAAACGCGGGGGGAGGGAGAACGGGTGGTTGGTATGTGCACCCATCCCCACTGAGGGTACAGTTACACAGCAGCTTCAATTGCTCTAAATTGGAGTTGCCGTAGCAATGCCTGCCCTGCCTGCATCATCCTGTCCTCCCCACCTTCTGTCAGCAGAAAACAAAGGAGGTACATGTGAAAAGCAAAAAGTCGCTACCTGTGGCTGATTCTTCTGAAAACCAGCCCTACCTAAAAATTATTCATCTTGGTTGGTTGAGCTCCATACAAAGGCCACTTTGAACCAAACCCAGGATGAAGGAAACATCAGGATTTTGCAGGATGGGGGTAAAAGAAGCAGAACTGTTGCTCTGTTGATTCTAGGACAGCTGAATTTCTGTAGAATGAATTCTTAGCAGGGTTATAGCAGTGCCGAGAAGCTGTCTCCAAAAGCGGAATTGCCATCCACCTCCCCTCTCAGCTCCGGCAGGTTACTTGCCGCTCTGGGCTCCCTGCCTGAGCCTTGGCTAATGCCGTAGCATCGGACCACGGCTTGTCCGGGCTGCAGGTGGGAAGTGCATCAAGGCAGGAGCCCTGCTGCTGGCAGCTGCATGTTTCTCAACTTAAAACTACCATAAAATTGCAACTCGAGGGTTAGGGGCAGAATACAAAAGTATGGAAAGAAATGCTTCAAGTTGACTCAGAGCTATTTTGTCTCTGAATTATGCAACGTTCTGCTTTGCTACATTAAAACTCCTGTTAGAGACCTTTAATTTTGTTTCGCTAACCATTATTCAAAGAATGCTCCAGCTGAAAATATCTCCAGAAAGCCTAGTGATGTGGGGGATGATGACCAGCCTCTGAAGTTGTGAATTCCAACTGATTCTCCCCATGTGAACCAGCACTGTTGTCCTGGGGATTTCTTGCGCTCTGTCCGCATCACTCATGCAACAGTGTTTTTTGAAAATCTTCAACACCGTTATTTATACACCATAGTACATCTAGCGGTTGGTAAATGGTTTTAATCAAGAGTTTTCTTTAAAAAGGTAATTGTAAATACCTGTGGTATATGGAGTCATACACACAATATTGCATCTCAACTGATACTATTACACAAGCGGGGTCTGGCCACGATGCCCCTTTTCCACCCCTTCAAACAAATATCGGGCAGTTTAGGGGAGCTTTATAAGGCAGCGGCTAGCGAATTGCGTTTGCGCTCCCAGGTGCGCAGAGGGAAGAAGCATCAGGTGTGCTTCCATAGCCTCCACACAGTCGACCAGCTACGGTTAGACGGGATGCCTGCCCAGGACACGCAAAACCGAAGGATGCAGAATATTTGAAAGTGGTTTGGCCGCTGGCAGTCAGCTGTGGGAGCCGCAGGAATCAGAATGCAGGAATTTGGGTCTTTGTTTCAGGAACATTCCTTGGAAAGTGTCGAGGCCAGCTGCAAGACGGTCCGAAATCCCTCATCTTATCTACGGTCGGCGCAGGGAGCTACCCGGGGGACCCGGTGGTACCGTCCCTCCTGGCTCCGGGAGACCGGGGCTCCCGGCCGGCTTGCCGGGGAGCCGGCGCTCGCTGGGGGTCACATCCCTTCCTAACCTAGGGGTTGCTCTACACCGCCCCGACCCCAGGTACCCCAGGACCGATGCGGGGCGGTGGGCGGCAGGGGCAGCTGCACAACACCGCAGGCTGGGCGGGATTTTTTAATTTCTTCCGATCTTTTCCTCATCTGCGCGCCGCGCACTGCCCGCTCTGCTCACGGGAGAGCTGGGGCTTTAACTTTGCACGGGGAAAGGAGCAAAAAGAGAAGCAGCCGGGACGGGAGGAAAGGAGGAAGGTAGCCCCGATTCGGGGGTCCGCAGTGAGGGCGGCCGCCACCTGCCCCCGCCAGCGGCGCGGGGCGTCCCGGCGCCCCCGGACTTACTTTCTGGGGGTCGGCGTAGGTGCCCAGCCCCAAGAGCGGGATGCTGTTCCCGTCGCTCAGCGGGATGCGGTGGCTCTCGGCTGTAAGGTTCATCGTGCCTGCAGGTAGGGCCGCCCCGGACCTGGGGCTGACTCCGCAGGGGGGCGGGAGCCGCCGCTTCACAGCCAACCGCGGCCCCTGCGCTCCGGCACCCACCGACGGCTGGACGGAGCGGACCGGCGGCGGCTCTGCAGGGGCCGAGGTACGGACTGCCCGCTCCCTCCGCCGGGGAGCGCCTTTTTGGGGGGCTGAGCCACGTGTGCCCGCGGCTGCCCTCCACCGCACCCCGCCGCGCACCGCCCCGCGCCCCGCCCCGCCCCGGCCACCGCGGCCCCGCGCACCGCCCCGCGCCGGGACGGCCCCAGCGCGACCCCCGAGGTCAGGCACGGGCTGAGTGCGGGATAAAGGCTGCTCCGTGTGAACCTCAAGGCGGGCCGGTGGGCGATCTGCACCCTGAGGGGCTTGCGGTGGTGCTGCTGCCCATTACCAGGGACCCCCCCGGCCCACCGTGCCTGGAGCTACCGGCAGCAGGGCACCAACTTCACACGGTTTGGGGTGTTCAGTCTTGGAACTTTCCCCACAGAGGTGTAAAACCTGGGACAGTTTCCACCCCTCCTTTCCAGTGGCTAAAACCCACTGCTGTAGAGGCAAGGAGAGAATGAAGGAAATTCCAGATTGGTGAGTAGTTCCTCTGCCTTAGTGTGAGTCCCAGATTATGGCGAATGGGCTCAAGTTCCTCACTATCAGGTTCTACTCCACTGTAGAAAAAATGTATATATTTCCAAACGCTGATAGCCCAGAAAGGGACAATGTCCTTTATGAAATTCAACACATGGCTTTTACTCTTTTCTGATCCTCATAAAACACTCAGGGCCATCCATGCTTTTACACCACTCTGCAAGATGTACCCTGTCCTAACTCACCTGCTTTGTGCCCTGTATCTATGCTGAGTTCTCCCCATTTGATTTTGAATGTATGGTCTTCTATGTCTTCCCAGATCAACCTGAAATTAAGCCCTTAGAGAGCCTTATTTCTTAGCCACAACGATGTGGCTTAGCCTGGCAGATTATTTTATCTCTTCTAATACCCCACTTGGCTTTCTGTGCATGGTAATAGTTCAGCGGGTTATGCAATTCCAAGAGGGGTTAATGGATTCATCGTGATAAGTTATCTTTGCAAGATTCTTGAAATCAACAGGTGTACGCTAGTTTGCATTTAGGGAAAGGGTTAGTGGCTGCTAGAGCTGGGAACCTGACTTGGAAAATACCCTACAAAGAGACCCTTTTAGTGTTACTGGTTAGATAGGGTATCCAGTGAAGATGGAAAAATTGCCACTTTCATGGGTAGGAATGTGTCAAGAAGCTCAGGACTAAGTGCAAGCCAACTTGATCCCAGCCCAAAAATTTCTAGGTAACTAGGATGCCCTGCAGGACAAAGGTAGAGTGTTGTAAAATGCTCCTTGGAAGGTGGACTGAGTGCGACTGAGGCTTTCCTGACAGCCTGTGCTTTCCCTGAACAACACAATGCAAAGAGCTATCTGTAAGGTGAGTAGGTTCCATCTCAAGGAGGGGAAGCTGGGGCAAACTGCAGCCTGGCTGTAGTTACTGTGGGCACACTCATCCTGCTAGACCCTGTCTGCAAGCTGTGGGTACCTGCAGGTGTGACATGGAGGAAGGAAACCCGATGACCACCTCCATGCCTCCTTGTTCCTATGTAACTGATTGCTATTTTCTTGCTACAGGAGAAGCTCCCATCTCCTCTCCCCATGCCAACCATGTTTAAACATACTCTGTGTTTGTTGGAGGACAAGTTGATTCTAGCTGTATGTCTGAGCTACAGCCCTCGTTCTAGTGTGTTTCCAGCAGAGGAGCAAAAGCCTGGAGAGAGGTGAAACTTGGGTAAGTAGAGAAGAGTCTGATGTGGCAGAGGGCATTCAGAGACCTCCTTATTTCCAGTCCTGTATTAGCATTCCATGAAGAGGCTCTGCTGCCCAGTGGCTGATTCCTACCCCTTAGCTTCCATGTTCCAAGTCCACCCCAGAACCCACTTTTCCATAATTCCTCTCAATCCTGCACCTTGTGGGGAGTTTTAAGGCACAGTTTGCTCATTTGCTTTGGGATCAGAACACATCCAGTTTGCTCACGTGCTCTGGGAACAGAGTGATGTGTGTGCCCTAAGCTGTGTGTGATCCTGAGCTAAGCAAAGAACGACTGCCTCGGTGGTGCCTGTCCTGGGCAAACAAGCAAGTGAGCCTCTCTGGCAGGAGTACACTAGTCTGATACATGATAGCCTTCAACAGCAACTGTGAAAAAAGGATTGATGGACCTGCCGTAATTCAGAGAACAGGGAGCTTGAACAGGAAAAGGACTTGTGTTTCTAGGAACAGGCAGGCAAAGCGGTCTGTCACCCACGAGGCAAGACAGGCACCCTTCTCTGCTACAGCACGCGTCAGGGTGCGGATAACAAACAACCTTGGGGTAACAGGCAAAAGTCACCTTACTTGTAGCTTCACTGCTAGACCAGTCCTTATAAAATTCAGCCAATGTGTTTGTCAGAGAAATTGAAGAGAGGCAGAGGGTTTTACAAGTCCTTCCCCACTCCCCTGCACCTTAACTGACAGCAAATAGTGTGAAGACTTTTTACACACGAGACTTTTTAAGTCCCATAGCACCTCTGGCTCTCTACCCTGCTGTTCTAACGCATTTGCAGATTTTATATTAAACCCCAGAAAACAGATAGGAAAATGCATTTTTTCCCGTTTACATCTGAGTTACTAACTCAAAAGAGCTTTATTTCACAGAAGCTAGAAATACTAGCAGGTTTTGAGCTGACAATAAGTATCCTTTAAAGAACAAAGGAAGCCAAATAATGCAGCCCAGAACCTGTCACATACACTTCTTGTTAGTAACAATTTCTGTTAGCTGTTCAGGGGAGTGCATGCAGCTCTCAGCTTCAGAGCTTAAATGACTTAGCCAGATTTTTTACGAGGACATGGTATCTAGCAATTCCAACTGCAAAACAATGCAAGTTTCTAGAGGCAAAGCATTGGCTGCTGGTTGTGTCGATCAGTAACTATTCAGGAGCTTTTATAAAATGCAGATGTGATCTCAGTTCTTTCTCTAGGAAATAAAAACAATGAAGTCTCAGCCTGATCTTATTAGCAAGTAGTGAATGTTGCCATCCTATCAACACAAGTTTGCCTTCTCTAACAAAGCTCGTAAAGCACACAAGAACACCTTCAAAAGCAACTAAGGGAGGTTTGTGATTCCTGTATTGATGATGCAGAGTTTTATAGTTACATTAGTCCTCTCAGACAAGTAAAGAGAAGCAGCATCTTACGCTTGCACGTGTTTTGTTCCCTGTCCCCTGTATCCAGACACAAATAATATAGATTGAAAATATAGAAGGTTAGATCTAAGTTTTTGCAGGAAAAGTGGGTCAGATATCTGAGGATTCTTACTTTATAAACTTGCAGAAATCCCAGGTAAAGAAAGTACTTAACGGCCTCCTTACCTGAACAAAACTTGTCAGCGATCTTTTCAGGTAAAGAGGTGACCCTTTTACTCATTTTATCTCAAATTGCTGAGTATCCTGGGAACATGGGAAAATGTGCAAAGCCTTTAAATATAGACTCCCTAGTTCTTGGAAGGGGAAGGAGCCATGGACTGAGGACTGGCCTTGCCATCTTCTAGGTTTCATATTTTCTTGGACATTTGTAGGTTTTCTTTTTTTTTTTTTTTTGAACTTTTGGTTTGTACAAGGGAATATGTTAAAAATAGTATTCTGAATTTTCTCAATCTGGGTGTGTTTACACATTGTAGATTAGATTAGAGAGATTCTAGAGGTGGCTGACCTGTAGCGCCTAAAAATTTGCTTTTATAAAAAGGAAAATTGGAAGTACTTTTATAATACATGTATTTATTAGATAAAAAGTGCATGTTGCTACAGTTTCTATTTTCTCTATACGTCGTGCTCCACTCTGTGCAATTATCTGCTAGAATGCATACTCTGCATGTGTTTTTAGTTAAAATTTCTTAAAACACGGTCTTAAAGTCTGCATATTTTCAGCCTAGTCCTTTAATAACTCACATAAAATAGCATGTGTCTGTCCTGCACGTGGAATATCTGCTTGCATATTTTCAACTATTTAGCTTAGAGATTTTGGTAGCATGTGTTAAGACTAATATTTCTTTTGTATTTTTGCCATTAAATATGATAAACTAACACATAAGGAAAACCTCTAGTTTCACTTTTAAGCTCTAAGAAATAAGGTCTATGTAGTGCTTTAGTAGGTGGCTATACATGAAGTGAAGTTGCTTGTTTTCTTCTTGCTACGTTTTCCAGTGTGGTAACAAATTATGTAAGCTGAACTGGACAACACTTCTACTAGTTGTTGTAGCATCTTCTTGTTCTATATTCACATCATCACATGTGTCACAGTATAGTTCTTAAGGACACCCAGTGAGATGAGGATTACATCCCACCTTAATCTTGCATTGCCTGCAGGATTCCTTCTTTTAGTGACCAAGGAATTTTTCATATGGAAGCGTTCGTGATCTTTTTGATCATGTTTGTTGCATGAGGGTGATCACCGTCATGACAACAGCCTGGGCTTTGGGAGAAGTGTGATATAATAGGCATTCTTAGCAGTTTCTGTGCAAAGACCTTTCTTCCCTAGCTCCCATGGTGCATGTAAGATACTTGGCAAACAATGAAACACTTAAATAACGTGTTCTTCTTTTATTTTGATTATTTTTTATGTCTGCTAAGGACTTGTTCTTGGTGAGTTCTTCTTTGAAAGACCAAAGTTTGCTTTCATACTTTCAAGACTTACGGCTTAGCAGTGACTGGAGTATAATATATTTATGCTTTTAGTGAAACTCTTCACTGCAAGTCCCACAATGACCTCCAAAGACCTCATCTGGCCCAACTTTTCCAGAACTGGTACAACGCTTCTGCTGGATCCCTAAGGAGAGTATGAGGACAGGGAGAAAATTGTGCCTACCACCTGTGTCTGTAGAGAGATTTTGGAAAATACTTGATGACTGGATCACTTATCCCTTCTGCTTCCTATAAATGTTCTGTGGCTCCAGCTGTGATAAAAGGGAAATTCCTGTGTATCCTTGACACTATTCCATTCTTCTAGTAACACTGAAAAAGTGAAGCCACTGCAGGCCTTTGATCACTCCTGGGGTACAAGAGGAATGCTAGCAGCTGCTCCAGATTATTGTGCCACCGCTCCAGTGACTGTGGAAATGTGCTCGCACTGCATCAAGGCACAGGGACTTCCCCACAGGCCAGTCTGGCAGTGGCCATCCTGGTCTGTTCTTCTTCCCATGACACCTTGGAACAGGTGCAGAGCGCCAGGCTGTGGCATCAGCTGGAATGAACACGGCGACAGCCCTGGTGCTGGGTGCCGTGGGGTGCCACAGTGGGTGGCTGTGCAAATAGCAAGAGTCTGCTCAGCACTTTAATCCCCCTCTTGTTTGGACAGTAGTAGCTGAATGCATTTGTGGAGGATGCTGTACCAGAAGCAGCAGCCACATGGGAGAGCTCCCACATCTGATGGGGAGTAGAGGAAGCAAAACTTCACAACACGAGAGTCAAAAGTAGCCAGGCTGTTTATACACCACTACACATTTCCTATGGCACAGCAGAAGGGCAGCCAGCACTAGCAGTACAGCCCGTAAAATGTGCCCTTTTTCCTGTTGGGGTCCTCTTCTGTGACTGGATGTGGCACTTAGTGCCATGGTCTAAAAACAGCGGTGGTAGTGGATCAAGGGTTGGACTTGATGATCTCAGAGGTCTTTTCCAACCCAGCTGATTCTATGATTCTATGATTCAGGAGCTGAGTTGATCCATTACCCTCCAGGGAGTGTTACTTACGACCTGAAAAGCCCCATGGAGGACCAGGAGCTCCTTTGGAGGATCAGGAACTGTGGGGAGAGCAAAAGAGATACTCAATTTGAAAAAGTAATCCTTTGGAAAGGTAATCCTCTGGAAAGGTAATCTTCCATTTCTTTACGGGTGTCATTTACATAGGCACTGTCTCATGAGCCTGCTGTCCTTTGGGCACTGTCTTCATGCTCCAGTTTGGTGTCACCAGGGCTTACAACAAACCAAGCTAGAAGCCAGCTTATTTGTCCCCATCATGGTCTGTTTACTGATGTTATCTCTTTCTTCTAGCTATAGTATCTCAGTTTCTGCTCCAGACTGTCTTTTGCTATGGCACATGCCCGACCTGGGAGCTGGTGAGCACTGCCTCTCAGACCCCGGGGCAAAGGTCAGTAGCTGCATAGTGGCCTCTGGATTCCTCAGATACCGACCCTCGTCATGTGGGGAGGCATTAACCTTTGGCCCTGAGTAAGTGTCCTCATATCTCACCTCAGTTAGTCTGTCCTGCTGTTTAATCCTGTTCAGTATAAAGCCCTTTCCTTTGGCATCCTGCAAATCTAAGACCTGTCTTGATGTTTTCCAGCATGCCATCCTCTGGTGCTGTTGGGAAATACCCTGTGTGTTGCACCCAAGGCTGAGTAAGTAGTGGCAGAAGGGGCAGCCTGAGAAGATGTGATCATACATTCACAGCCTCTTATACCTCCAGAGAAAGCAATGGTGGTGGCTCCCTCTGTGTAACATTTCTTCCTCACCCAGAAGAGGGATAGATGCCATGGGAGGTTACTGCCTGTATCATGCAATTAAGGTGCTTTGAGAATTTGAGGTTTGGGGTTTTTAACTCATGATTCAGGGGGAGGGACTCATTGAGAGTCCTTTAATTCAAATCAAGCTCTTGGGACAGATCTTAACGTGTTCCAAAAATGTGAGATTTCCCTTGTCTCCTTTTAATGCAGAGCTTGGTCAGGGGTTCACCTCAGTACATGACTCCTATTCCAGCCAACTCCCGTGTTTACATCATGCGTAACTTCACACGGCTCCCTTGGGTCCATCCCAGGGCTGTACAGAAGTTCTTAGTTCAGCTCTGCTGAATGATCATTTTACTTCCTTGCATTGGATAAACAGCTGTTTTCCATGTTACTTTCTTTAGGAGCCTCACTGGCATGTTGTTTCTTTCCTTGCTTCCAGTAACAAGCAGACATATCTGACTAATAGCAACAGGGCTGCACCAGCACCTTCTTGCAGTCGGGACTGCACAAAAATCGCACATTTTTCCTCAGCGCACCACATGGCAAATAGCCACAAGAAAACATAGCAGGGAACAAGCACTTGCAATTTCTTTTCCTTATCTTTTACTCTTCAAAAGGGTGAAAGCAACACAGGCTTGGAGATGAGGGTCCCATAGTGGCCTGTCCCCGTTGGTCACTGCACTTCCAGCCTCGAGTCTCTACTGGGGAAGCTCTTCCTTTGAAGTACATCTCACTTGGGTGGGAGCCAACATCACGAGCAGGAAACTAATAGCTTGTAAAGAGAATCCCACAGGTAAAGTCTAACAGCCTGCTGGTTTCTTTGCTTGCAGGTATTTCCTGTGGATGCTTTAAAAACAGATGGTATTTTGGGTTTTGCTGGTGCCGCCTGCTAGTGGGCAGTGGTCTGTGTCAGAACAAACAGGGATTTAGAAGACTAGACTTTAAAGCATCCCATTGATGCTTTACCCTACCTGCACACTTTTCAAGGTGTGCCAGAATACTTCAAAAGGACAGATAAGCTCATCTTTGCTTGAGTTAGTCCTTGTCCTGGAGCTGTCATGCCAGAAGGGGACCATCACGGCAGCCCAGGAGGAGGGCAGTGCTGGTGGGAGCAGAATGGTGCTGCCAAAGAAGGTGAAACCCCACCTGAATGCTTGTGCTTTATGAACAGAGGTTTTACCGGAGCTAGTGGGATTTACAGCTGCGTTCAACACTTCATTCCATGTTTAGTACCAAGGTGCTGCATGCAGACCACAATGATGGTTTTTTACTTTCAGTACACTCTCAGTTTGCAATGGCCATTCTGTTTGTCCGCAACCTAGGTTAAAAAAAAAAAATTCATCTTCTGCTTTTCTTTTCCCACATTGCCATTGAATTTTTGATATTCACATGTACATTAGCGAATGGAGAAATCTCCTGATGTATTGTGAAACCCACTTATCACATTCTGCCAAGCTCTACGAGCCTATCGCTTGTCTTCCATACCACCTTGCCTGCTGGAACTTCATTGGCAGCCTTATTTAAGCTTATGCCCAAATAGCTACCTTTTATAAAAGTCCTGACCTTCTACCCTACCACTTTTCCAAGCCTTGTGTCATCTTGTGCAGTGAGGCAGCACGGTGTTAAACCTGCTCTCTCTGGGGCATTGTGTGGCATCTCTGCAAATCAAATGGTAGTGATACAATTTGGGATTAGGAAACAGAAATAAATGAACTATTCCTTGTTTGCATAAGACTGGAAAAACAGCTAGGGCAGAGCTGGGGCTAGAACCCAGAATAAGTCATGGGGCTGCCTGTCATAACAAGAAAGGGGAGCTTGCAGCAACTTCTTTTTTTGAGACGATCTGCTAAATCTCCTGTAATTGCTTTAGTAAACACTATAGACTGGAAAAAAAACAAAAGGTTCTCTTCCAGCTTTCATAGGTTACTTGGTATCTCCCATAGCCATATGGGATTAATGGTTGCTGTAGGGTAGGATTGTATCATAAAATTTTATTAAATGTTTTAAAGCCAATTAAAGAGACATTGCCAATTTGAGCTTTCTAAAATTTTGCAAAGTAAATTTTTTCCATTGTTGTCACAGTGCCTTTGAAGTGCTAGATCCTGAAATTTTTAATCATTTAAAAAATAAATAGCTATATATTCTCTGCAGACCTGACACTGTGACAGCAATTCAACTAGTTATGCACAGAACTGTTGTAGGTAGACAACAAATAAAATTCTCCAAAGTGGAAATTGACTTTTCCTATCTCCCTTCATTTACAGAAGAATTTTAAATCTTACTTGTAGGTTCATTAAATGACATTTTTGACAGGAGGGTTTGGGTTCTCCTACCAATTTGATATGTCTTTCAGATAAGCCTTCCTTAAAGATTTTGAGTCTCCAAACTGAGAAATGAGAAAATCCATTTGTGAGTATAATAATGATTATTAGAAATTCCATGTGTCTGAATTTTTTACTTTCCTGAAAAAACAAGCTTCCATTTCAGGTATATAGTTCCACTTATTGTAGGCACAGGTATAAAATGTCTTTCTAATCCATGGAGAGCATGCAGCCTATATTTCAAGGAACAAGCAGGCCTATGACAGGAAAAGGATCTGCAGGGCTCAGTGTCTAGGGTAGAAAAGAAAGGGCTGGATGTAGATGTAGTCAGTTTGTTTTCATAGGTAATGATGTATTTGCAGTAGTGTGAGAATACTCATCTCTTGATGCAGCCCAGGACATGGCTGGCTTTCTGGGCCACAAGCCCACATTGTCAGGTCATGTTCAGTCTTTCATCCTCCACTACCCTGAAGTCCTTGTCAGGGCTACTCTCGATCCCTTGATCCCCCAGCCTTTATTGATACTAGGGGTAATTCCTTTTGAAGTTGTTACTATGATTAGAACTGCAGGATCCTTGATCTTTACACATGAGCCTGTCAGGGCACCTCTTGGGCTGCTATAGCATCCTCTGATGGACAAAAACACCTCCTCGGTACCTGTAGTGCCTTGAGTGTGGTCCACCTCTGTCATGAAAGGGCAGCAGAGGCTGGGGTAGCAATACCTTACCCCTCCTGCCCAATCTATTTACAGGGTTCTATTGGTGCACATCCTCAGCTCTGCATGTTGCAGAGGGCAGACACGTCCCTGCAACGTGCCTGGTGATTTCTTGCACGCTCGCAGGGCTGATGCGTACTTCGGGGAGTCCATCGAGGCTGGAGGTGAGTGAGCCTTTGCACTCAGTCACTGCCTGGTCTCACAGCTCATTGTTCACCCGCAGCTGGGACCAACAGACTTTTTTTGTCTCTGTTTTGTATAAATCCTCGTCGCTGTAGCACTTCATCTGATATGACTAACACGCATGGTTTTTCTCTGCTTTCTCCCCTGAGGAAGGTGGGGGGAGAGTAGTGTAGGCAGTGCAGTATTTCTGCTTCAGTCTGGTTATTTCAGAAACAAACTTAAAAACATATGTTCATTTCAGTTTGTTTATGTGACAGAGACAAGGTCGAAGAGATATGCCTGGAAAGTGGAGCTGAAACCTCCTAAGAGCTGGACTAGGTTGAGGGATCCTGTTACATGGAGTTTATTGCAGGCTGGTATTTAAGTTCACTATAGCCTGCCCCGTCGTTGTATTTTTAAAGGTCCCTTTCTTTTAGAAATATCTTCATTTTGTCTCCTCCTGTTTTTGTATTTTCCATTTGTTTTTTTCTTTCAGGACAATTTAATTTTTTGAAATACTCTCTGTTTTGCAGAAATCATCATGTATAATATAGGAACACATTTGTACAAATATTTATATCCCGAATTTTCTCCCTGTCTAGATCCTCATTGTGTTGCATGTTGTGTCCTTGCTCCAAAATTCCTATCTAAATTTCCACTACTGGTGAGGCAGTCTGTACCCTTGAAATATATGCATCTTAATAAGGCAACAGTTGGGGTTGGCAGGAAATGGTGATGGAAGATTTCCTCATGAAAAAGTGAGGATTGACACGTCTGGTTTTCATTCTTCATCAAAGCAAAAGGAGAGTTTTATAAATGATGTTGTGAAGAAACCTGAGGAGGGGAGATTTTAGGAGATGAAACCCTGCCTGCTGGGGAGGGAGGTAAAGGGGCAACTGGCTTCAAGCCACAGATCAGTTGGACCTGGATGTAGACCTGAAGCCCCTGCCTCTTCGAGCTTGCTGGATGGGGCTGCTCCCCTCTTGACCAATTTTTAAAGACGTAGAAAGTGAGAAGAAAAGTGAAAAAACAAATGGCAATTAACTTAATCATGAGAGGAGAGCACCTGAGTGTGATGCAGGAGACAGAAGTTCAAGCCTTTGCTGAAATCTGTCACAACAAGGAATTAAACTTTCTCCTTCATGTTCTCCTCTGGCACTGTAATCCCTGTGGTTGCAGAAGCTCATCCTGCTTCTCACTGGCCAGGTTTTCCTGGGGCTGGGAACTTGCAGCCACTCAAGCACTTCTTCTGGGAACAAGTTGCCATAAAGTGCTTCCCAACACTTCCAGGACTGCAAAAGTGATTTGATGAAGACAGCTGTCATTTGGTTATACCCGTATGCAACATCTTCTGATCTTTTGCATAAATACACTTAGAAGCTTGAACTAAAAGGCAGAAAAAGGTAAATGGAGATTTTTGGAGGGATTTTGGTAAAGTCTTGCACTTCGTTGCTGTGGTGATGCTATGGAAATGTGATTTGTGGGGCCAAGGGGAGTCTAAGTTGGACACCTTTGTGAAAAAAAACCTGAGATTTTTGGTAAGAGCACATGGTTTTGAGCACTCCTTCTTAATCTTGCACCTTGGAGATGTGGTTAAATGGAACAGGATCAGTGTATAAACCATGATAAGCCTCCATTAACTGGAAATGGGAAAACACCTACTGAACCAGTTTTGAAATGTCTGGATGCAAGTAAAAGGGATCAGAGGTCTGTTGCTCAGAGAATGTATTTGACACAGTGGACTAATAAATTTTCTCAGATTTTCTTTAAAAAGTTAGTTAAATGAAAGGTCAGTCCCGTTTGTAAACAAAGCTGTCTGAATTTATTGTAAAGTAAAAGCATCAGGGGCTTTTGCAGTGCTTTCCGCTGTGGCTGAATGCCAGTACAGTTGCTTTTTAGAAAGCTTAGTGTGTATGATTCTTTTTTATTAGAAAATAAATGGAAAAGACGTGCCAATCAGTACCTTCAAAAGATCCTTGCTGCAATATCAGTGTTAGAGCTGTGCAACAGCCTCCTAATGAAATGGGAAAGCAGACAAATTGTTTTCAGGCACTTTGGTAGAAAACTGAAGCTCTGGATAACTTAGTGGAAGGTTTATGAACCTTCTGGGGAGTCTCCTGTATGTTTACCCAACCTATACTGATTTTTTGCTGCTTTTTTGAAACCAGCTGAAAAACAGTAGTTTGAGGAGTCAAACCAAACAGAAAACAGGAGAAAGGGACACTCTGAGGATGGGAAATCTTGTACAGACACCTGCAAAAATCAAGCAGCTGTTTGTCATGTTGCACTGGCAGGAATGCTGTGCCGAGCAAGAGTAGTGGTTGCCTCATGAGCTTTTGGGTGATGACATCCTACTCTCTCTCCGCCTACCCTGTGGCTGATGTTGGCAGTGCTGCCTAGTTCTGTTCACATTATCTGTCCAAACTAGAGATCTGTCTGGCACGTGAGCCCCCTGCAACACAGTGGGAAAGAACAGCTCTGCGTAGGGACCCAGGCTGCGTGAGCTGGGCAGCTGCAGCAGTGGGATTACCTCTCCAGCTATCCCTAATCGTTTTGCCATGGTAGTGCCAAGTTTAGAGTAGGCTAACATTCTGCT